GAGGGGATAAGTTATAGATATAACAAGGATCGACTAAATATATCAACAAGTGGAAAGTAGCAAAGCCGAACCCCTTTTATCTTTAAATTAAAACTCATATAAGTCGTTCATCTTAGTGTTTAATTAAATTAAATCACTCAATCCCAAAACCCCCTTTTATTTACTAGTTGGTAAAAAGAAAATTATTACTTTCCATGTGGATACGAACTCTACTACTCTATACTACGGTATTAACCCTTAGTAGTGAATTTATTTTTACGCACTACGACAAAGTGCTCGTCAATTATATAAAGCAAAAGATAACATTCAAAATACATTTTTCAATATATTAACTGAAATGCGTGAAAATTGGATGGAACTGTAAGTAACTTCAGTCAAAAGATAACAATTGGAATATTGATCAATTACTTATGAAGTTATGATGACACAAAAGAGGAATGATAAAACCAAATACTCATTTTATTGCACTTTTAATTTAGATGTTGAAAAACTTTTACTTTAAATTTCATGATAGACCGTATCCTTTTGGCGCCTTAACTTTTTTATTTTATTTTTAGTTTCGTTGCATGACAATACATTTTATGTTGTTTGTCATCATACACCATGAACGGATGAACAATCTTCACCATTTAAACTTGAACCTGCAGTGTCAATATATATGAACAATCGTCACGCACGTAGTATATACTATGTGAATTTTAATCGCAACATGTTTTATTTTACACTATTCACATGCTCTACTTTGACTACATTTTACGCTATTATTTGATGAAAATTATTTTTTTAAAAAAAAATATTGTTCAATTCATCTCATTACAAATTTTCAAAATTTGATTTTTAATATTTTTTTACTAAATAGAATTAAGATATAATTACGGTCAAAGACGCGCATTGACAAATGTAAAATGCTGACCGTTGCAACTAAAAAAGAACGGAGAGAGTATTACAACAATATTACAACTAAAAAATGTATATAGCACTACGTATATACTAATACTACATGGGTTGGTCCGGTCCCGATTCCGGACCAAAACCACTCAGTCCTTGCCAAATTTTGTTGAAGCTCAGCTCCGACTCGGTTCTTTCTGGTTTCGGGGATCTAGTTGGTCCGATCCCGCTTCGGTTGATTTTTTTGCCCCAATTCAAGGTTGAAACAAAAAAAAATCGCCCAACGGGACCGAAATTGGAACGCCTAGTTCGGTCCCCAAATATGTAAATCGGGACCGGGTACCCCTCTTGAGAGGACATGTCCGGTCTTAGGCCTCGAACCGGAAAAATGGTCCAGAATGTCGGACCGAGTCCATGCCTACCCCTAGGTATGTGTTTCCTATTAGCTTTCATATTCCTATATGATTTCCTAAGTTTGTCATTTCTTTTAGTTTTCTATGCTTGTGAAGTTTAGTGCCACTATTTTACGCATTATTATAGTTAGAGATATGCACGGTTAGAGGCTTAAAGCATCTTCAATGCTACAATGTGCACGGTGCACATGTGGCATGAGAGATAGTCACATAAATATTAGTAAATAAATTCTTTCTCTCTTTAATTGAATGATTTTATTCAGTTTTGGTAAGTTTTTCTCCACAATGTCAAGGAGATCGTCTAGATGTTGACATTGCAGTTGACATTGCAGGGAAAACCTTACCGTAATTGTATAAAATCATTGAAATAAGGAGAGAGATAATATATTTGCTAATATTTATGTGGTTATCTTTCATGCCACATGTGCACCGTGCACACTATAGCATTGGAGATGCTCTTAAGGATGTGCACGGTTTGGGAAGGAATGGGAATTGGGAGATCCTGATACTGGACCTGGTTCAGAATAACGGTTCAGTAGGGAACGAGTCAAGACATTGTCCTGTTGGTATCCCATTTAAACCGGTATATATCACGACATAACGGGATTGTTCGGGATATCCCAAAAAAACAACAAAAAAATTGCAACATCAAAAACACATCAAAGCGGTTGGCAAAAAAGTGGCGCAAAATCAACTTCATGACAGCAAATTACAACACATCAAGAAATTTGCAAAAAAATGCAACACAAAAAACGGTAGTTTAATATGATAGCTGGATGAAACAAATAACTACAATAAAAAATAACTCCAACACACAATACTATCAAGAAATCTATAAGCTAAGAAAATTGATAAAACAATATTATGAGAAGTGAAACTTTTGCCTCATATCGCGACCGGCCCCTCAGCCTCAGCGGGATTCTATATCTCAAGACCGACTTCCTCAGCGCCGAGTGTCTTGAGCTAGCGATCGGGCTCGCTACTCCCTTCCCGGATAGCGATTGTCGCCTTTATATGACGACCGACTCATCATTGCCTCGTCATCATATTACGGGGCTCGCTTCATCAGCGCCGAAGTCTTGTTATAGCGATTTGGCTCGCCATCCCTTCCTGGATGGTGACCATCGCCTTCATATGACGCACGACTTATCATCGCCTCGTCCACATATTCAGACCGGCCCAAGCGCCGAAGTCTTTATCTAGTGACCGGTCTCGCCATTCCCTTCCTGGATAGTGACTGTCGCCTTTATATGACGATCGGCTCATCATCGCCTCGTCATTATATATTGAACCAGCTCCTAAGCGCTGCCGTCCTCATATTCAGACAGGCGTCCATTGCCTCGTCCTCATATTCGGACTGGCTCATCACCGCTGTCGTCCTCATGTTCAGACAGGCATCCATCGCCTCTATATGACGGCTGGCTCATCATCACCCCGTCATCACATCATAGGACCGGCTTCTCAGCATCCCCGTCCTCACATCACGACTGGACCCTCGGAGCTGAAGTCTTGTACGAGCGGCAAGCCCTCAGTCATGACCCCTGGCCCAAGGCCCTTTTTTCATGATACTGAAGTTACTCCATAAAACACCAAGTGTTTCCAAACTATAATATAGCCCTCGGTACCAAGTACCAACGACGGATTCGTCGGTAAAAACACCAAGTGTTTTAGATAAAAACCCACAACATTATGCTAAGAACAAAGTCGTTCCCCCTGAGGACACCCTTACACACACATCACCTCTCAAAAAAAAGAGAGATGCCACCTCTCGGTTCCGAAAGGCACCAAGTGCATCCGGACATTTACGTCTAACACGCAAATAAAACCCTTCCCTGAAACGCTTTCCGAGCCATTCCCCAAGGGAATGATAGGCAACAGACGATGCCTCGGGCCAAGGATTTGACTTTCACAAACGAAACGCTTCCAATGCTATTCCCCAAGGGGAAGCAGGCAACAGACGATGTCTCGGGCTGAGGGAACGACTTTCAAAAACGAGACGCTTTCCGCTCCATCCCCCAAGGGGAGGCAGGCAACAGACGATGTCTCAGGCCGAGGAAACGACTCTCACACCCCTCGGATCCCGGAAGGTCAAACACTGAGGGGGGAGCCAGCGGTTCACATCGTTGCCTTCTAAACAGACCAAGTCTCCCAGGAAACCAAGTTTCTTGAAACCTCCCCTCACCCTAAAAAAAGAGAAGGGTGAAGGGGAGTAGACTTAGCGAGCAATCAATGAGGAAATTTTACAAAGTCCACAATATAAGACCCTTCGGCAATCAATGAGCAATCATCGTCGGGGGCATCCTCAACACAAATACGAGATCAACATGGAAAATACCTCTAAGTCCTAATCTCAAGACCCTTCGGCATTACGTCTGAGGGGAACTACTCGGGAATGAATGAAATCAACATAGGAACAATTGGAGGAGAAACATGGAAATTTTCCTAAGTGAAAATTTTTCTAAGTCCACATCTCAACAGTTCCCAGCATATGAACAAGCACTGAAGGATCCTATTTCGTGTGTTGGGCTTAAATTCAGCTAAGTCCACATCTTAAGAGCCCCCGACATAGCACCCAACACCAGAGGCTCCTTTTCTATGAGTTGGTTTGAAGCTTCAAAGTCCACAACTCAACATCCTCCAGCAGATGAACCATGCAGGAGGACTCTGTTCTATGGGTTAGTTTGAAAATTGGTTAAGTCCACATTTGAAGAACTGCCAGCCCATTAACCCGCAACGGAGGCTTCTGGTTACTTTTAGGTTGAAAAGTGGCTAAGTCCACATTTTAAGAGCCCCCGACACATCAACCAGCACCGGAGGCTATCACTTTATATATTGGATTGTAAAAATTCTAAGTCCACATCTACCTTATGTCTTGGGATGAAATTTTTCTAAGTCCACAACAGATGGCCCCCGACCACGGAGTAAGGAAGAAAAACATACATCCATACAAACACAAAGCGAAATGGAAGGCAAATAAGGACAATGGCAAAACAATCATTCATCAACATAAAATGAGGATCAGGCTTGTTTGAATGCATGTTTGTTGAGGCCGGAGGCATAAATACCATTACAAAAAAAAGAACTATTACAAAATCGTTCTAAATACATGTGTTCTCCACGCCCTCTTCATTCGCCTTTGAAGTTATATCTTCCCCGGCTTCTTCATCCTCGTCATTCTGGCCACACTCTTGCATCAGCTCAGAGTCCTCCAATATTGGCCTCTACCGGTCCGAAGAAAGGGTGGTCCTGACATCAGGCTGCCGAGGAGGTAAGCCGTAGGCCGCCAGTTCAAACTCTTCCACCAGGATGTTAAAGTGGCGGGCAAGCCTTCGGTAGATCATGCGCTGGGTGAAGAACTCACCCCCTGGTAAAAGGAGTTTCCCTTCAAGGCCAGCCACATCTTCCTGGGACCTTCCACCCCAGGAATCAACGGTTTGCTCTATCACCGAGGCCAGCCACTGCTTTCTGACATCGGTTTTCCAGCCCTTGGCTATGAAGACATCCACAACAACTCACTCTGCTTCGGCCACCGCCTCCCTCTTGGCCTTTTCAGCAGCATCGGCGGCAGCTTGGGCAGCCTCCCCGGCAATCTTCTCAGCCTCGACTTTGCCCTTGGCCTCAGTAGCCTCTAACCTCTGCTCAATGCCCTTCGTCATCAGCCGAAGGGTATCCTCAGCATCTGCCAGCTTCTTCCGGAGGCTGGCATTCTCTTCATCAAGCTTCTTCAAGGCCTCGTCCGCAGCAATCTTGGCCTTCCTCAGCTGCTTGACCCTCCGGAGGTGCTCGCATAGGCCAATACAGCCCTGCAAGAAATAATTATTGATCAGGCCATTACATAGTGGTAAAGGCAAATGAAGACATTGGGGATCAAACATTTACAGAGGCGCTATTCAGAAGGATCCTGGACTCGAGGATGTCATCCTCCATTCGAGCGAGCAGAGACCTATCGCTCGAAGGCGTCAATCCTCTCATATGCTCCATAGGGTTGAGGGTGGCGACCAAGATGGAGGTGCCCTTCTTTGTTGAGACCTCCAGAGTCTCTCGGTCGAAGAACTCCTTATCAATAAACTCTGGAGGAGAGCGAGGGGGCGTCGTCACATTGCGCGAAGGGTCTGAAGCTGAGTGGCCTTCCAGGATGACCACGGAATCGAAGGCAGGCTGCTTGCCGGGGTCGCCCACCTTTTGCTTCTTCACCGAGGGCTCAGCGCCCTTCCCGATCTTCTTCTTCTTCTTGGCCGTATCGGCCTTGGAGTTGCCGGCATCCTGCCGGCGCCAGCAGCCTTCGAGGACTCCTCGATCCTCTTCTTAAAGAAGGCGTCCACCGGCTTCTGCACCACCGACTCTTTCTTCTTCTGGGCATTGCCCAACTGCTTCCTCAATGCGGCAAGGGCCTTCACATCCATGTTAACACCTGCAAAATAATACAAATGATGAGGCCGAGGGGGTCAAGGCAATAACAAAAACGAAATTATGAAAATACTTCCAAGTACAAAAAGGTAAAGCCTTCGGAAAAACGCCTCCGAGAACAGGGGCACTCTCATAAACCCGATCTATCATCAGGTACTTCTCATCCTGTTCCCCGGAAGCCTAGCTTGAACAGATCATCTGGGAGGGTGGCATCTTTGATCACCACCAGATTGTCGGAACCCTCCGGGAATGCGGAAATCACCTTTCCATCCTTCTCAAGGCTGGCACTCCCCACCTTTAGATGGCGCATGAAGTGGTCTTGCAGGGGACCGAGGAATGGATTCTCTGCCATCCTTATGTAGCAAAAGCGGTCTTTCCATCCCTTATGCGATGAGGGCACCTCCGACAAAAGCCTCCACTCCGGAACCTGCTGCAAGTTAGTGAAGCCATCGCTACTGGTATGCCCTCCCCGGCAGAGATTGAAGCAAAGAAAGATTAAATCGAGGGTCGGCTTCACACCCCGGGACCAGCAACAATCCAAGAAACTGGTGTACGAATGGCTATATCAGGGGTCAATAGACATGGGGCCAAGCCTACGAACCCAAGGTACTCCAGGACGAAGGGATGGAGAGGGAACTGCAGGCCCACTGCGACAGAGAGAATATGGACCGTAAAACATCCCTCGGGAGCACGGGAAAGAACGTCTTCAGGACCCGACACTATCACTATCACCGAGGGACCAACGTAGAACTTGGTGAGATGATACTCAACATCATCAACCTTCATCTTCAGGGTGAGAGCAGTGGTGTGTAGATATGAATGCCCCTCGGGAATCCCAACGGGCTGCCCAACATCTGCAACCGCATGTTTCTTCTTGGGGGGAGCCTTCACCTTCTTCTTCTTCTTCGACATCACAGCCCTAAGGGGTTCCAGGCTGAGGGCCCGTGAACTTCCTGCCCCACCAGCACTAACAGAAGGAATGGCGACGGTTACCTGCTATCGCTCCTTCTCCTCCTCCTCCTCGGCGGTTTGAACGGCGAGGACAAGCTCCTCATCCTCCACCACATGCTCAAACTCTTCAGCCTCAGCTTCAGCCCTGAGGTTGTTTTGAACCTCCATTGCCACAGCAGAATCATTATTGGACGAAACCTGGACGCTCGGCGATCTTTCCTCGAACCAAGTCTCTGATTGGACCAAAGGCTCTTAGGAGATATCTTGGGATTCGCTTGCAGAAGACATCCTCCGGTTCGTTTAATGAGGGAAGTTGATAGAAGTAAAAATTCGTAAGGCCACTTGTTGAGGATTATTCCTTCAACCCGAAGGCCCAACACGTAACCTGAGGGTTTCGAATGGATGATGGACAAGTAAATGGAGAAATAAGCAGGGAATGGGCTTGATAAACTGTGTTTACTCACTGAGAGACTGTTACAAACCGAAGGGTCGAACGTACAATACTGTGCTATGAACTGATACTATTGCTAGAGTGCTAGAGTGCTAAATTGCGAACCCTTTATAGTGAAATAAATGCTGCTATTTATACTGCCAATGGGTGGTTGGACATGTTGACGTGGCAGGCTATGAGCGGCACGATCCCAACCACCAAGTCTTCTGTATTAAATGCGCTTCCCGCCAGAATCTTGGTTTCCCGCCATTGGGTGGGAAGGTTTGTCCCCGAGGGCTTGGCTCCTATTTCCTGCTGGAATCCCGACCTCCTGTCAGCGAGGAAGGGGACGTTCGTCCCCATGCCCTTGAGCTATCCTTGATCTATTCTTGAGCCGCTCCTGGTACCCTATCGCAGGGTGGGGACGTTCGTCCCTGTGTACCTCATAGGGATCTTGGGACTGGATGCCTGCTGATAGTGGAACACGTACGTCTCCTGGTCTTTGAGCCTTAGTGTTGGCTGGTGATGGAGTACGTACATTCCCTAGCCCTTGGGCCTTGGTACCGGCTGGTAGTGGGGTACGTACGTCTCGTGACCCCTGGTACTTGGCCTTCTTCTTGGGCCTTTAATAGGATGTTCATAGGTGATCCTTGTGGGCCTTCTGGGGATGTTCGTAGGAGGTCTGTAAGGTTTGATGGAACGGACCTTATCGAGCCATTAACCCAACACAAGTCCCCCACTTCTGATGTTCCGAGCGTGCGCGGGACATAAAGAAGTAATTTGTTTCCGCCGTACTGCCTGAACTGTCATTCTCACTTCTGATGTGACGGTTGCTTCTCTTGCCGCCATTCACGGGGCTCTAGGCGGCAGTTATGTAGGCTGGTTCAACTTCCGATGTAAAAATAATCATTTCGCGTCTGTCCGTCTCTACGCAACACGTGTCTCTGGGTACGTTCCTCGCCACGTGTCATCCATGGATCGATTAATGGAGAGGCATATCCTCCTATAAATACTGCCCCCCGTGTAGATTAGGGTTTTTACCTTCCTGCTTTGCCCGCTATTATCCTCAAGCTTTTCTGCAAGTACTCTCTGGCTCCTCGCTCTGTTCTTTCGATGTTCCTCAGGTAATTAAACCCAATCTTCTTCTCTCCTTGTTTCGTCTTTTGATATGGTCTGTTCTATGGAAATATCTTCCGAGTCGAGTTCCGGGTCAGGCTCTTCTACCGGCTCATCTTCTGGTTCGGGCTCCCGCTCCCGTTCCTCAGGGGAGGTGGGTACTTCCGTCCATTCTGGTACTTCTGACGTGGTGGGACAAGTTATGGCGGATATGGCTATCCCTGGTGGTGCAGGCATAGAAGTTGCTATGGAGATCGCCCCAGGGGGTGTCCGGATGGCGGATGTAATACCTGAGATTAATTTAAGAGGATTAATAGTACTACTCATACCAACAAGGTGCATCTCCTTTTAAGGGAGCTCATTAGCCAAGAACTCCAAAGTTAAGCGTGCTTGCACGGGAGTAGTCTTGGGATGGGTGACCCCCTGGGAAGTTTCTCAGGGCGCGCACGAGTGAGGACAAAGTGTGCGGAAAAGGCTAGTGGCGGTTTGTGAGGACAGTACTAGAGGTCAGAAGTAACTACCTCGAGGCCTACGGGGCCGGGGTGTTACAAATGGTATCAGAGCAACCCTGCGACAGTGTGATGATCCGTTGGATATCGGACGGGCACTTAGCAGGGGAAAAGATTCTGGGATATGATTGAGATTGATTTATGGGCGCAACGAGGACGTTGCGTTCCTAAGTGGGGTGATTGTAATACCTGAGATTAATTTAAGAGGATTAATAGTACTACTCATACCAACAAGGTGCATCTCCTTTTAAGGGAGCTCATTAGCCAAGAACTCCAAAGTTAAGCGTGCTTGCACGGGAGTAGTCTTGGGATGGGTGACCCCCTGGGAAGTTTCTCAGGGCGCGCACGAGTGAGGACAAAGTGTGCGGAAAAGGCTAGTGGCGGTTTGTGAGGACAGTACTAGAGGTCAGAAAGAACTGCAGACCCTACTTCCCCCGCTGTTCATCTATAGCTTGAGAGGTGTTGATACTCTGTTCATGAGATGTCCAGGGATGATCATGGTACACATGGATTCCATCAAGGCCGGACTGCGTTTCCCCCTCCACCAGCTTTATCTTGATTTCTTCCATTGTTATGGTGTTGTCCCGGCCCAATTTATGTCGAATTCCTATCGGCTCATTTCCGCTTTTATCGTCTGTTGCCGTTCAGAGGGGTTTTCCTCGAGCTTGGACCTCTTCCACTACTTTTTTCAGGTCGTTCCTCAAAATTCTGATGGGTTCCTGAGCGTGGCCGCACGTCCCCACCTGAAGCTATTTGAGGGGGCCCAACTTCTATCCACGATTGGAAGAACCGCTTCTTCTTCCTTCATTATGTGGACGAGCGGCTTCCCACATGGTGGAATGGATATCCTCCGAAGATAAACAGCCGGAGTTGTCCACAGAGTTGAATGATGCCGTCGAGAAATTGAAGCGGGATGGCGTGAAGAAGTTGAAAGAATTCCTGATCCTCCAGGCACTTTCTAATGTAGGGATAGGTACTGCCCGTGGTTCTTGGATTAGCATTCATACTTGTTCATCTCATGGATCCGGGCGGTCCAGTCCCCGAGGTGAGTGCCTTCAACGCGCCTCTCAGGACGATAGGCGCGTTGAAGCCGCCGAGCAGCATCTCATCGCTGCTGTAACCGGGCAGAGTTATGTGGCCCAACATGCAGAGACCGGCCTGGTTTTGGATGTGGAGCCGGTCGGTGTTGCCCCTCCCGCAGTTGGGGTGAAGGATAAGGGCAAGAAGCCGAAGCGGCAACATGTTGAGCCTTCCGACCCCAAGGCCCCTAGCGCCGTGCTGCCTCCTCCGGGTCGTCTGGTTCCAGAAGTTTGGAGGGATATGGCCCTTCAAGCTGGGGCGGAGCTACCAAACCGCTCCTCAGGCGAGGCTATCAATCATGCCCTGCTCCTGGCCTTTGAGGTACGACGCTAACCTTTCTGCTTCTCTTTTTTTCGTCTTTTTCTAACTCCATGCCCTTCTATTTGCAGGATGGGTTGAACTTGTTGCAGGCGGAGACCGCTCGAGAGCAAGATGCTGTCGAGGCCAAGAGGAGGGCTGATGAAACCTTTAGGGCTGAGCGGGAACCCACGCGGGCAAGAGAGGCAGCTGCCTCGGGTAAGAAGAAGAGACTTCAGGCCGCCCTGGATCAAGCTCAGAAGGAGAAGCAAGATCTTCTCGATAAGGTTGCCCTCGCTGAAAGGCACAGAATCTCCTTCACTCCTGCC